AAACAGCTGGAAAAAATGTTGTTCTCTTAGGGAAATTTATAATACATTTGACTCATGTTTTGTGTAATTATGGAAAGAGAGAAAGAGAAAGTGCCAAAAAATTAACAACTTATCTAGAAAGTGGAATTGAGTTTTTCCTAATTAAAATACAATAGGAGTAAGATAATATTTTAAAAACAAAAAGAGGCAAAGAAATTATTAATTTAATTGTTTAGGTTAAGGGCTTGCTATATTACCATGCCCAAGATTTTACAGATTTAGGACAATTTTTAAAAATTAAAATTTCACTTCTGTTTTTAAATAACACTAGCACATAACCAGCAGTAAATTCAATAGGTTAGATCTATTAAGATATAGTATCTATAGATTACAGCAATGCATTCTGTATTAGGATACTATTGCCCTTGGTCTGGAAGTTGTTGAGTGGAATACTTGGACAAACACACATTACCTCTCAGTTGAGGCGAACAAAACTGGCTGAATCAGATGCAGTGTTTGTTTCTGACATTTAAGGTTCTCATAACTCAGAACCAGGACCCCTGACAGACTGTCTTTGCATCAGAAACAGAGGCACGATTTGCTTTCACATTGCTACAAGCACTAGAAGACAGAACAGTAGTATGTATCTATTGATTCAAGAAGCCCCAAGTCATAATGCACAGGAATATTCAGCAATGCAATAAATAAATCATTTTAGTGTTTAGTCCCAAAGAAACAGCAACGTTTCCTTAAGTAGTGGGGTTCTGCTTATAGAAAGGTAAGAGAGTGCAAATTCTCTGCATGGAAACTCAGTACAATGCACTATCACGTCTATCTCAAGGCCCTGATGCTGGGGAGCCAGTGGTACAGTAGACAATTCTAAGTCAACTTCCTACAATGACATGAAGCTTTCCATAAGTGTTACACAGCCTTAGATTTTATGGAAGTTACACTGAATCCTAATGGCCTACAAATCATAAATATTAATGAGCAATTTCAGCTATTTAATTTTGATAGGCCAATAAAGAAAAAGTTATCATAGTTTAGCAGATAACAGCTGACCAGATAACTCCCATCCAGAGTCAAGAAATAAGAGCCAACAAAGAAATCTAAAGGGACTTCCTAATCAGTCCAAAGAATTTAAGCCCTAACCACCAAGTCCAGCATTTAATTAACCATAAAACTTATAAACCAGAAAAATACCAATATATTTATTATAGTTACTGAGCCATGAATTTGACTTTATTCAGAAAAAGGTCAGATCATGTTTAAAGTTTGACAACAGATTTAAGAAACACAAGGAAGCGTTGTATTATCAGTAAGCATACCAAGTGAACAAGCTCTTCTCAAGTGTACGGCAGCTTTATCTGGCAAGCGAGAAACTCAGTATTCCAATATTAGGAGATAAAAATAGCATCTATTGACATTTTGGCTCCCCTACTTCCCCCTCCCCCCAAAAAAGAGGGAATAAGTAATGAATATAAAAATGAAGTAACCAAAAGAAAAGTAATACTTCAACTATCCCTCTGAAATTCTACAGATTTTTTTATAGCCATTTATGACATTTATAACATTTATGCTATATATAATTTTTATAACAATTGCCTAGCAAACTAGAGCTAAATAAATAAATCAGGACAATATGCACATTCTTGGAATTATAAATGCACACAAACTCCTGACCTCTTAATCCTTCCAGAAGAAGCAATGTTATCTACAAATTTCATCCAATTCCATCATGATAATTTCCATATTTTAAAACAATCAAAATTTTAAGCTGCCAAAAAGAAAGGAAGTACTGCATTATTTATCTAACATTTAGAAGCTTTCAGCCGCTAACTTGGGTCTGTTACTTCTGCAAATTTCATCCAATTATCTGAAGCAGAAAAAAATGCTAGAGCAATTTGTTTATTTTCAGGGACAACAATGGGAGAATCAGATTTCCAGACTGAGATTCAAATTTGGGTCCAGAGTTGAATCAGGAGATCTCTGAATCAATCCAATGTGAAACAGACTGTTTTCCAAACTGGGATCAGTGCACACATCTATTGACTAATTTTACATAAATATGTAGAAAACAAAATGTTATTAATCCCTAAGTATGAGCACAATCTCTTCTGTGAACACAATCAGAAGCCACAAGGCATCGTATTATTAGTTCTGCTGCATCACCCATTTTCAGCACAGACTTATATAATTTTTGCAAATATAGTAGTTACTTTGAAGATACAGAAAAGATAAACATTTATACACTACAATTATAGATATTCTAATTATCTGTGAAAGTGTTTATTCTTCTACATTTGTGCCTGTAAAGATTTGGCACAAGTATACAAGTAATATCAAAGTCCAGTTGGCTGAACCATCTTAACTAAAGTAACAGGAAAGCTGATATCTTGGAACAAGAAATTAAACTAGTGTGGATAATAAGCCCATAACAGTAGAGGAAGAATGTCTCTATCGTTCAACATAGATCTCTTCTAGGTATTATCCTTCATATATGTAAGTAATCCAAGTTGCCATCAACTTCCATCAAATTGTTTGCAGGTTCCCATTCTCCCACACCCTATTGACTTCTCCACAATTACTATGAACTGTTGTACATATTAACCCCTGCTCAGGTAATATTGATAATCTGTTTCATATCCAGTTCAAGAGTCTTTATGCCCCCAAATATTTCTATATATAAACAATGATAAAAATATTGTTCTAGGTCAGAAAGTTCACATTAACTATTACAGAAAGCTTTCCATGACAGTGGGAAGCCTTGTGACATTGATAAGAACATTTGGAAAAAACTCATTTCTCATCCAATGGACTGGAGATGCTGTTCCCACCGTTGGAATCCTTTTACAGGTTGATGCTTGAAACACTGCCAAGCATTACTGTGCAGGCTGCATGAAACAGAACTGTGGCAGAAAGAAACTTCAAAGTAGCCATTCCAGATACTGTACAGCAAATTTTGAGAAGGATAGAAAGGTAATATAGATTAACAACACACAAATGATTTTATAATCTACTATTGATACATTTAGTTACTCTTTGTGTCATGCTGCATGCCTAGCTACATATCAAAAATTAGTGAAGTCATCCCAGTTCACATCCACATCAAGAGTACATGTGCATGAGAAGTTGCACTCACACAAAATTATACTTTTGAACATTCTAGGAGCCAAGCTGTGTTAGTCTATCGTATCCAAAACTCCAAAAGCTTTTCTCTTTTAGTAAAATCACTGAAAAGATGCTTCCAGATTCCTTCTGACTTTTTAACATTCTGCTTTTTGAGTTTCCAGGAAAATGTCTGCAATCTTTAGAAAAATAATAAATATTTCAGAATAAATGTTCCATCTTGTCTGCACACAGTTCTCTAAGGCTTCATAAAAAGAAGTATCAACAACTTTTATTTCAAGTTTTAAAATGTGGTTTCTTACAACAGTTTCATGGAACTTCATGCTTTCCAGTGGGAAGAAGGGAGAATAGCTTAAAATACTAAACCACCTTGACAGAAATATGAAATCCTCCAAGTGGCAATAGAGACAGTTACTTAATTCATGTAGTTTACTGTTGACTTTGGAAAGTGATAAGAATAATGCAAGCGAAGTGTACATAATAACATTGGGCTGTCATCTAGGAATGTTGTTTCATGGTGCAATATCCTCAGATAAACTTCTTTTCAAAAATATTTTTAAATATTTCATAACAAGACAAACTTTTTCATAGGCAGGCCACTCAGCAAAGAGTTGCACAATGGACAAAGCAACAACATTTTAAAACAATGTTTGCCCAAGTACTAAATACTTTCTATCAGGCACTGAATTAATTCATTGTTATAACAGTTATATATATTTGCTCCAGTAATATTGGAGTTGCAACAGTATTGATCCACAAAAGCTATCAGTTTGGACCTACTGTATATTGCAAAAACAGAAAAAAATCAGGAAGGATTCCTGTATCTGGAAATGAAATGAGATACCAGGATGTATTATCTAATTATTGTAATACATCACTTTTTCCAACACATCTTCCAGATGTTTTGGAACTGCAACTCCCCAAATTGCCATGCCAGCTGGAAATTCTGAAAACTGTTGTCCCAAAATATCCAGGGGACACTGTGCCCGGCATACACTGCAATTTAAAGCTAAGGATAAATTACATGTTCAAACTCAATTTCTATCTTTAATTTCTTTGAAGCAAAGAGAAGATGGGTAATAACCGTTAGGTATCTGTTGGACAGTGGCCTTCCCATCTCTTTTGCAAACCAACTGGGAGCATGATGTCTTTATTTACAAACTTTGTGTCAATGATTCAAGAGAGTCAACAATATTGTCTGCTGCAGCTGTCATGAGACAGCTGCTTTTTCTGCTGACCCAGTCATTTTTCTTTGTCACTATTCTAATTCTTCATCTGAAAGTACTGCTTTTTTATAACGAATGCTCACTACAGTGATCACGCTGGCCTAAAGACCAAACTAACAGTGCTGTAACATCAAGCAGTATATTTAATTGACAATGGCTCTCAGATAGAAGTCTTAAGCTCCAAGTGGGATGCAAACTGACACACTGTGGCAATCCTTTTTGCAAAAGAAATGTATCATGTGCAAACACCTGCAAACATTTCAACTATGCTCAAAGTCACAAACTGGATAACATTTCAGTAAGTGGTTCCTAGACAGAATTACCTCCTCTTCAGAATGTGTTTTAGTCTGAAGTTTGAAGTTACTATTATCACAAAGGATAAAAGCTGTTATAGCTACCATAAGTTTGTTAACTTATTAACTGTGCATAGTAGGCCAATCTGAATGCAGCAAATTAGCGGAAGTCATGGATTCACTTTAGAACATGTCTTCAATCTATGTGGTTAATTGTGAAGAATATGAAATAATAGTATCTAAATCATGCAGGATTTATAAAGGCAGATAAATTGTGTCATGCTAAATATGGTTTGAAGAAAAAATTGTAAGTGGAGAACAACTGACAAAGAATTTAGCCAATAGGAGAAGTCGTATTTTCCTACCCACCAACCTTTTATGAAGATTTGAATCTTCTTCAATGTTCAAGCAGGATTTGTAGATGGAAAAACTGTTTAAACAGGAAGAAAGGCTAAAAGAGAGAGAGAGAGAAAGAGAAAGAGAGATGGACTATATAGAGTTAATTTTCTGCTATACCTTTAACGACATTTTCTGTTAGGGTTTACTTTGGAAGCTATTTCTGATGGCATGAACGTAAGAGGATTATAAGTACAGTTCAAACTAACTGAGAAGGAATAACATACCAGTATCAGTGGTATCAGAAACAGATGCTCAGTGAGTTCTTCCAAATTTTGGACACTTATCTATGTAGGACTACCAGGCTGTCAATGCATTAGTATCCAATGAGGACTCTTTTTGTATGATGCCCAAACTATGGAAAACTCTCCCAAGGAGTTGTTCTTCTCCCAAAAGTTGTTTTTCACAATCTGTCATCTTTTACCTGATTGAATGCTTTCAATGTTACATGTTTTATTTCTTGAGATTTCATTATATTAATAAGGTATAATTAGGTATTTGCACAATGCTATGGAATACGCATCTGATTGAAGAGCATTTTTAAAGCAACTGAGCAAGACCTGGGAAAGTGACACAACTAAAGGAAGAATAATTTGAATTTAAAAATAGAGATAACATATCATCGAAATTAAATACAACCATGTGCATCATGCAATAATTTCCACAAACCACCATTTTGATGTATTTTTTATTAAGATATACTGGAACTCAAGCAGGAGCTAGATGTTTTCTGAAAAACCTGAGTGCCAACTAATATATCAGTCTTATGTAAGGTTCCAAGGTATTACTTTATGTCATAATGAGATCAGCTTTTCTCCATCCTGCCAATCATTAATGGAGAAAGGCAGCCAAGGGATAGGACCTTTAGACTGCAGAAAAGCACCATGATTAATTAATATGTATTAAGCATTTACAGAAACAAATTAAAGGATGAGACACAACCAACATTTTCCTTATCAGTAGAATATTTTCCTTATCTGTAAGATATTTCCAGTAATATGTATTGATAGCCTCAGTAATATAGAAAGACAGCTAATTAAATGTTTCAAAATACATAAATGGCACTTTCTTCATGGGAACACAACTGGTCAAAACAATAGCATTTAAGCAAATATTCAAATAAATACAAACACACACACACATCCATATACAGTAAATATAATTTGAATTACATTCATTTCACAGAATCTTCCACTTTATTTGTATCTTTGCAATCATCCACTATCTCAACTCTGAAAACTGTCTGTAGAGGTTGGATTTTTTTATGGGTTTTAGTAGGATTTGTAATAAGGGTATTATTACAAATTATTATTAGGTATTGTATAAGGGTTTATAATAAATGTATTCAAGCGCCTCCCCAAATCCTGCTGTGCTGTCTCATCATGGCGGGCGGTGTGCGTGACTTCCTGTGTGTGAGGGATAAGTGAAGAACACCAGGAGTGTATGCCAAAAATATATATTCCTGGCAGGGTCACCCAACGCATGAAGATCATCCCAACAGTTCAGCTAAAGCAAGCAGGCACCCATATTGGGCACCAGCAATATAGGAAGATGCTGGAGGCAGATTATCACTTTAGTGACAATGGCAAAAGCATTGCTTCTTCCTATAGAAGAGAATATGTGTAGCTCAGGATTGAACTGTGGAGTCCTTAGTGCTCTCTGGCCTCGGTTGTTTGCTTGCAGGCGTTTCATTACCCAACTAGGTAACATCATCAGTGCGAGTGAGCATGGGGTTTGCTCCCTGTTTATATACAATAGCTTGCCTTTTAAGTTTAAACCTGAGCTACATATATTCAATTCTACTGGAACCACATATGGGTGTCAAACACTTCAGAATGCACACAAATGGGAGAAATTTACATGTAGGCAAACCTCCACCAAGGAACAACTATTCTTTCTACATGAATGCCTACTACAGCATGCCCTGCCCACCAGTGTCAGATACAAACCTCCAATAAACTGCATAGCTGGATGGAAAATAGCTCAACAAAGCAGCTGAAAAATGATACAGCTAATGATCATGGATTCTCCCCTCAGACTAAACAAATATCAGCCCACCATAGATAATCTCAAGGAGCAAATGGAACAACCCATGACCCCAGAGCACACAAAAATGCTGATAACCACCACCAAGACTACATCTCTAAGACAAGCTGGAAAAAGGAAAACAAAACTCCAAATCAAACCGCTCAAGCTAAATTCCAGAAGCAAAGAGGTCTAGAAACTGTAGCATTCCCAGACATACAACCAAAAGTATGGATCCAGTACGTAGATGACACCTTTGTCATAATAAAAAAGGAACGACTAGAGAAGACACATGAAACAATCAACAACATCTTCAAAGGAATAAAATTCACAAGGGAA